TGATCCTCCTGCCTCAGCCTCACGAGTGCTGGGATTACAGGCGTGCACCACCATGCCCGGCTTTAATTTTGTTTATATCTCAGCAGTTTTTCTTTCTGACCCTTATACCTTAAACTTTTTCTTACTGTTTCTGTACTGACTAGGATCTGTACCACAATGTTGAAAAGAACCTGTAGTGAACACCCTTGTTTTAATTTCAGTTTTAATGCATGGTTTAACATTTCACACTGCAGTATTTTTTTTCACAAATGACTTTTATCGAGGGCGTTGTCCTCTATTTCTGGGTTGCTAATTATTTTAATATGGGCAGATGTTGCGTGTTATTAGCAGCTTTTATCTGCATCTATTGAAATGATTATTTTCTCCTTTGATGTAGGTTATGGTAGTTGACTTTTTAATATTAATCCAACATCTACTTCCAAGTATAAACACAACGTTAGTTCACTGCTGGGCTCAATCTGCCAGGAGCTGGGACCTCTGTCCTCATGCCTGCATCAGGTCAGCGTGTGACACCCTCCTTCCCTGTCCTGTGATTGTCTGGCTTTGCAGCTGAAGTTATACCAGCCTCATGAAACGGGGTTTTTCAGTTTTCTGAAACTAGTCTTTAAAGTTATTTGGTCATTAAAGGAGGATCTTACTTTCCTTGGAGGTTATGGGTTCATAAGGGTTTTATCTCACTGACTAGTATTGTTACTCCTAATATATTTTTTCTGCAGATTTATCCATTTTGTCTTAGTTTAAAATTCTGCTTTGAAGCCCTCCGTATCACCCTTGTAACATTTTTAGTCTCTGTAACCTCTGAGGTTGACCCCTTTCCATCCGTTAGTTTATTTGCACATTTCTTCTTCATCCTTGAATGTTTAATCCATCAGTGTTTTGTGTTGTGTTTTTGATGCTAGGGATGGAGCCAGGGCCTTTGCACGGAGTTCCACGCAGCCCTTTTCTTATTTTTTGAGACTAGCTGTCACCGAGGCTAGCCTGGGCATAGCCTCAAACCTGCAGTCCTCCTGCCCTAGCCTCCCAGGAATTGCAGGCATGCGCCTCCATGCCCAGCTCCCATGAGAGTAGATTTTCCAACTGGGGTGGGTTCTTAATTTGCATTTCTAAAATTGTGCGAGCATATGACCTGTGAGATGTCATTGTTCTGACTGGCTTTCTGTCCTGTCCTGCAGTGCTGTGTATAGGGGGAGGGAATGCAAGCTCCCCATCGACTCTGTGAGCCTCAGGGGAGGCATACAGCCCTGCCGCGCTGACTGTGCTCCCCCACCCCTCCCCCTCCCCCTC